TATTATTCTTTGAAGTTTCTCTTCATAGAGCTATCAAAGGTCATCTGTAAGCATGGCCCATGGAGTCTTTTATTACCCCCTCCATTCTATAAAATAGACTTGTGTTTTATTTTCATGGGTTAAGAAAATGTAATTAATATAACTGAAATATAATATATATTATATTTTTCCTAATATATCCTTATATTAAATAATCGTTTAAATATGAGTAATTCATATTTGTTGATTATAATGCACATTTAATAGCTTTAATTCATTGGGTTAAAAGTTGTAAATTTTTTAATAATTTTTCCAACCGGTAAAGCTGTTTCTGAGTCACCCGATTTTCAGTTAATAGTCCAATTTGTCAGATTTCTACGGGTTTTATTTAGTGGCTTTTAAGCACAAATCGGACTGGACATTGGATTTGTTCCCAATTTTTCCAAATGAATTGGTCGATCTGATTCGATATTTGTAACATTGTTTTTTATACATAAATTTATTAAATGAAGGTATATATTTTTATGTAAAGGCCGTATACCTTAGATAATGAGGGTTTTAAGCCAACTTATCTAGGACAAAATGGACGGTTTGAAATAAGAACAATTGTGTTGATCTCGATTTTGTACTTTCAATGTAGTCAACAGATCTCAAGGTCTCCTGTGTCCATGTAAGTTTGATTTCTGCACACTAAAACAAATCATTAGTCACGCGTAGCTTCCTTCAGTGGTGTTGAAGTTGACTGCAAGCACTTCGATGATCAAGTCAGTTGACATTGTAATTTTTTAATTATGGGAGATACTTTAGACACAAGCCTACTATGTAAAAAGGGGTTCACTTTGGGGGAAAATAATAACAGCAAGTAGGGCTGGGTAAAACCCAATCCAGACCGCTCAATCTGACCAACCTAAACCAAATCGATCAGTATGGGTTGGCTTTTTAAGTTTAATTGGGTTGGGTTGGAAAATTGAATTTGAAATTGGGTTGTGTTGGGACTTAGGTTATGAATAAAAATCCAACTTAATCCAACCCGACGAATTAAAAAATTAATATCTAGTGTAGGAAAAAAATTAAAGACTCAATAGTAAATAGAGCTACATAAAAAAAAAATTTGCGAAATCGTAAATTGAATCGAAACCGTTAGTTTGAGTCCACATGGATCCAGTACCTTTTTTTTTCTCTCAAATCAAACCAAACCGTTTTTAAATGGTTTGGTTTAAGTTTCGATTTTCAGGTTATGAATAAAAATCCAACTTAATCCAACCCGACGAATTAAAAAATTAATATCTAGTGTAGGAAAAAAAATTAAAGACTCAATAGTAAATAGAGCTACATAAAAAAAAAATTTGCGAAATCGTAAATTGAATCGAAACCGTTAGTTTGAGTCCACATGGATCCAGTACCTTTTTTTTTCTCTCAAATCAAACCAAACCGTTTTTAAATGGTTTGGTTTAAGTTTCGATTTTAAAATACGACACAAAATCAAACTGAACCGTTCTTAATTCTTTAATTAAAATATTAATTTTATTAACTCATAAATTTTACAGGTTTCACTTTTCAGAAAAATAATAATTTAGCATTACAAATTACCATTAGTCCATTGAAATAATCATATAAAGTAAATTAGATTTATCATTATTGATCCATGATTTTACAAGTCCCAACACATATCCTGGCCTAATATTTAAACTAAACTAAAATTATTTTTAAATCATATGAAACGAAAAAAAAAGTATACTTTCGATAATCAAAATCATAATTCAATAAAATTATGTCAACAAATCATACCCAAAGTTTCAGAAGCCCTAACATAAACTCTCATTTTTCAAATATTTGACGTTTGTCCGCCACTGCTGAATGAAATGCTATTGCCAATCACAAATCACAAATCACCATCTGCCATTCGCCTGTTGGTTTGCTAATTTTTACCTGAATTGCTTCTCTCTTGGTAAGTCTCAAATTCTCATTCTAGCCATTTTGTCCATTGTTTTTCTTTTATTTGTTGTTTTTGAACATATTATACACTTGTGAGTTGTGGTTTGGATAGAAAAATTATTATTTGTGTGCCTAGGTATACTTTCGATAATCAAAATCATAATTCAATAAAATTATGTCAACAAATCATACCCAAAGTTTCAGAAGCCCTAACATAAACTCTCATTTTTCAAATATTTGACGTTTGTTCGCCACTGCTGAATGAAATGCTATTGCCAATCACAAATCACCATCTGCCATTCGCCTGTTGGTTTGCTAATTTTTACCTGAATTGCTTCTCTCTCTTCTCTCTTGGTAAGTCTCAAATTCTCATTCTAGCCATTTTGTCCATTATTTTTCTTTTATTTGTTGTTTTTGAACATATTATACACTTGTGAGTTGTGGTTTGGATAGAAAAATTATTATTTGTGTGCCTAGATGATTCGTGAATTTGTTTGTGGTACGGAAAGAACGAACGACGGAGCGTATTAATTGTGTAAAAATGTTAAAGTTTCCCATCTAGTACATATCATGTCCAATCCTTATTTGACACTTCATTAGCAAGGCGAAGAGAGCTTTAACCAAACCACTATGGACAATCTAAAAGGCAAACGAGAAAAGTTAATTAAGAAGGAACAAAGATGTATTCGTTCTATTAACATCTTTTAACAACCAACTTTGAAATTAATTTATTCGTGGGTTTCATTGCAAATATAAATGTAGTTTAACACTTAACATTATTAGTTCTCGTTTAAACTTATATATTAACTTGTTTTAAATATATTACTATAATGTCGATAGGTAAACCACGGATTAAAATAGAACCAAAGGGCAAATTATGGTTTGGTTCGAAAAATAAAATGATTTGGTTTGGTTTGAAAAAAATTTCAAATCACGTGAAATAGTTTGAGTTGAAAATATAGTACAAACTACTCAAATCAAACTGCATTCATCCCTAATAATTAAGATAAGAGAATGACTTATAATGTATAAAGATCCATTTTCTTCACATAGACCGATTCACATGAACACTATGTACAAATGCATCATTATTTGACGGTAAAGTAAAAATTAAGGACGTGATGATTAAATGAATTAATTTCAAAATCACGTGAAATAGTTTGAGTTGAAAATATAGTACAAACTACTCAAATCAAACTGCATTCATCCCTAATAATTAAGATAAGAGAATGACTTATAATGTATAAAGATCCATTTTATTCACATAGACCGATTCACATGAACACTATGTACAAATGCATCATTATTTGACGGTAAAGTAAAAATTAAGGACGTGATGATTAAATGAATTAATTCCAAAAAATTGTAAAAAAGAAAATACTTCATAAATTTTAAACTTATTTATACATTATTTTTAGAAAGAATTTCTTATATATGTGTGTTTAAAAAATGGAGGTTTTCAAATAATTTCAAACTCTAAAAAATTACCCAAATTTAACGAATAAATTAATCCGACTTTAATTAGGCCAAAGCCCAAACCGACTAACCCAAATGGATTGGTTTGGGTTGAATTGGGTTTAAATCAATAATCTGGTTGGTTGGGTTGATTTTCGATCAAAACTGACCATGTTGAGTTGGATTCAGGTTGGGAAAAAAATCGACCCAACACAATCCATGTTTACCCCTAACAGCAAGAAAATCAAAGTTATAGCTTGTAGGGTATGAACTTACGTTACCTTTAGAATAGCACATTGTGTGAGTTTTTATAGTAGAAGAAGAAGGGCATCGACCATAGGATGAAAGCATGCATGGCCTCATCCATGCAACTAAGACCTTTAATTAAGAGTATCAATCAATTTATAAGCATTTAATGCTACTACATTTTATTGCTCAAAAGTCTGACAGAACACTTAGATTCGACCTGTTTGGTTAAAAATGACAATGGTAGTAGTGAATTATCACATTATTCACTTTCTAAGGATTGCATAAAAGATCTCTTGCTGAGCCCCTTACCGTCTCACCCTATCTATGAGGATTTAATTCTCCATATGGGACCGACTCCAACTAATGGGTTCAGCTCATCAAATAGGTTCGGCCCCTTCAATGGGAGTTCGGCCAAACTGCCTCTTGGGCAAAATGACGTGGAGTGCGAGCTCAGGTTTGCTTGCCATGTAACAGCCACATAGAGGTTATGGAGCCTTATTGAAAGAGACGTAACAAATTAAGTACAAGGAGAGAGACAAAGAGCATTACCTCTGTGGAGTTACAAACTATTCTGTTATGTATAGAAGTTACATTTTCAAAGGAACAATACAACCATTTATCCATTTTCAACAAGCCTCTAATTTCTCCCTCTAGATGCAAATATTTTACTACTCTTTTTATACATCATGTTAGCCAACCTATCTGCAACATCATTACCCTCTCTCCATATATATGAATAGGAAATTTCCATTAAATTTTGCCAATGTTGGATTTCTTCTAAATGATATTGTATTTTCCGAGGTCTATTCATATTTGCAAGCTGCTGAATCTGATTCAACTCAAACCTGTTTCAATTAAAGCATTTTGCAAATCTCCAAACCAATACGTGTTGCTCTGATTTTAGGCTCAATGTAAAGCTCCAAATTCTTGGAACTCGACGGGGTAAAAAAAATTCTTAGATTGAGCTCTATAATGTTAATCAAATAAATTGTAAATAAGAAAATTTTTGGAGTTTGAAATATTAAAAAATATATATATATGGGAGATCTTAACATTTGAATATATAGACTTCGACAATTGTGATATAATTTGAATTCTAAAAACATTTGGGGAAAATTAGGCACACACCGATTACGTAGCAGTAGAAAGAAAAATATGTTTGACCTAGCATACATCGATTAAAATTTATGAAATTGTAACAGAGACTATGACATTCATATACGTACAATATATAAAAAATTGGAGTCTCAACGATACTGTTTGACGAATGAAAATATTTTTTAAC